TGAGCGAAGACAACCACACCCAAGAAAAGCCTCAAAAAAAAAAAAAAAGTGCAAAACCAAAAATTGAAGGACAAAAAGGAGATTTAACCCCAAAAAAAAAAAAAATGGTGATAATTGGTAAATACTGTAAATTGGTGATTGCCGGGGCGACCATAAAACGGGGCGTCTCTGAACGCTCAAAGAGACAATCGTTCCAAATTAACCCAAAAGCTCACGCTCTCTCACCCTCCAATCCTAGGGTTCCTTGGAATATTCTTCTCTCTTCCTTCACTCCTCAATTTGCCTTGCCTTTCTCTGATCTCTGGCGTGGAAAGTTGCCGTACGTGATTCAAATCTGTACGAATCGATTTGGTTTTCTTTTTTTGCTTTCCATTTCCTGTTGTATTTGATTGGTTTTGATGAACATGCAGCAGGGAGATTCGTCGATCATGACGATTCCAGGTTCAGGATTCATGATGGAGAACGGTTGTAGTTGCTTGCCGTGCACGCCCAATGATGAGAGACACATCGTCCAGGATCTGAAGAACAAATCGGAATTGCATTTGAAAGAAGGCAATTTGTATTACCTAATTTCAACCAGGTCCGTGAAATTTCCGTACCGGTTTTCTTGTTTTTAGCAATTTTTTTTGGCCATTTTTCTTGTTTTGTTTTGCTTTATTCGATTGTGGTAACATCGATGGAATTTTCAAGAAGAATGCGTGTAATTCGGAGTATTTGATTTCCGGTATTCCTGGGCAATTGATCAATTGGATGCCTTAGTTCTTTATAGCTTAATATATATGCAATTTCATCACTTCTGTGATATTATTCCTTTCCCCATAGGAAAATGCTTAGTTATGATGAGGCATGTTAGATAGACTTGGTGATTGTGATTTGCAGATGTTTAACCGTCTTAGAACCTGTAGTTCTGAATTAACTTCTCATTGGTTTATAAGAATTGTATGTCGGTTTAACTAGGCATATTTGGTTGTTTTGTGCAGGTGGTTTAGAAAGTGGGAGAAGTATGTTGGGATAGATACAGGTGAATTGGATGCTCAACGTTTGGATGTGGTTCCATCAGAGGCCACAGATAGGCCTGGGCCAATTGATAATTCAGATATTATTGAGAGTGGAAGTGGTTCTGGGGGAAATGAGCTACAGCTCCGTAGAATGTTGGTGGAAGGACAGGACTATGTTTTGGGCCCTCAAGATGTTTGGGAAAAACTTTATGAATGGTATTGTTACCCAGTGATGCATTTCACCCCATTGTGGCTCTTATTTTTGTTGGTTTCTGACAAGGAGATTGTTGTTGATGAATTCCCTCCGGCAGTAATGCAATTGATAGCAAAGAACCATGCTATGCTAAACATTCAGGATTTTCATCTACCTATCTTCTTATTGTGTCTCCTATCTTCCATTATTTTTCTTTGCATTAATTACACAATATTTGTAGTGTACCATTTATCAGAAATGGAACTTGCTTTGTTGACAAGGCATGCTTCCTATCTAGATACAGTATTGTTATTCCATTGTGAGTATATAATAACTAGTTACCTACTATTGCTGTCAATTCACATTTCACTTTGAGAAAAGAATTGTTTGGGAATGATTAGAAGTTATGTCATACACCAAACTCTTACCAAAATATATTTGGAGTACTTGTTCAATAAGATGGTAACTTTCAGTTTCAGTGAGATTCCACTTATGCTTTTAATTTTATCTTTCTTCCTCTTTTTATAGGTATAAAGGAGGGCCACCATTGCCCAGAAAGATGCTTTTACAGGGCATTTATCAAAATGATTTTGTTGTGGAGGTTTACCCACTTTGTCTGAAGTTGATTGATTCCAAAGATGAAAGTCAGTCAATTATATGTCTAAGCAAAAAGGTACGGCCTTTTGTTTGTCTTTGATTTTAGCTGTTTCCTACCCGTTACAACATACTACTGCATGGCTGGATTTGGAACGCTTAACCATGCAGTTCTGTCTATTCTCGAGGGTTATATGTTTCTCAGAATGTTTCTTCAAATCTTATGTATTACTTTGTCTGGGAATTCAAAAACAATAATGCAAATAACATGGCTGATAGTCTGACAGATTCCTTTAATTTCTGACTCGTTCACTGACAATGCAATAATTGTAATTTCACTGCTCTTGGCCTACTAAAGGAATGTGTAAAACATCTTGATCTGCTACTACTATTAATTAAAGTTCACAATTTTTGTTTTTTTTTTTTCTTTTGTAATGTCTGTGGACTGTGGAGAGGTTTTGTGTAACTTTGAAAGCTTGGAGGATTTTAGGTTATTTCTTTGAAGCTCTATATTCCTTGCTTACCTCCTTTTTCATGTTGTTATAAATAGGTTTGTAGTGGACGCTTTTTATATATGCACATATATATATATATATATATATATCTGCTTTAAAATCTAAGAAGCAACTTGCATTCCAGCTTAAAGCAGTTTCTACATAAATGGAAATGCTTTAATTTGAAAGCTTTTATTTTCAGTGTTCTGTGTTCTCAAAAGCATGCACTTTTGTGTGTGCATGCACATTCTAACTCCTTTACCCCCTTATCTTTTGGTTGAAATGGTATTTAGGCTTCTGTGCGTGAACTTCTTGAGAAGGTCTGTGCACTGAAAGGAATAGAGCAGGAAAAGGTTTGTGCCCTTTTTTTTTATTTTGGGTTTTATTAGTGTATTTCCTTTATTAAATCTGTCTATTTTTCATATAATTTGCCATAAACTTGACTTCTTTGTTGTCCATTCTCTAGGCTCGTCTTTGGGATTACTTCAACCAGAGGAAACGTAGTCAGTTGTGTGCTTCTGAAAAAACCTTGGAGGAATCACACTTGCAGATGGACCAAGATGTGAGTATATTGTAATGTGCATCTTTTTATGACAATGTATTCCTGCAATTGTGAATGGGATTTATTTGCCCATGGTAATTTTCTTGCAATCATAAGTTCACAGCTTGTCTGAGACATCTATTAAATTTACAATTTAGCAACAAAGTTCTACAAGCACCTCTGAATAATGAAAATTAATAAGTTCAAACTTGTTTATCCCTCTTCTTAAGTAGTCAGTTCTAGGGAGAAACTGAGGATCAAGTTTCATTTCTCTCTTCGACATTTTTTCTCTTTTTGATCAGCAAGTTTTATTTCTTTCTCCACTGCTTGGTTTTAATTCATTTGCGTGTTTGATGTTTGCTTTCCAGATTCTTCTAGAGCAAGTTGATGGATATCATTCTTCCCAGTTAGGCATGGATTCTACGGGAAATGGATTAGCTTTGGTTTCCCTAGAACCCACAAGATCATCCCTTACCATTGCTGGGGGTCCAGCCATGTCTAATGGCCACTCTTCAGGTTACAGGTCAAATCTTTATCCAGGAAGTGCTTTAGGCTCAGGGTTCATGGATACTGATGATGGATATGATGCTTATAACTCTGTTAGAAAACTGGAGAAGGGAGGTTTGGCTGGACTTCAGAATCTGGGGAATACTTGTTTTATGAATAGTGCTATTCAATGTTTGGTCCACACGCTCCCTCTTGTTGATTATTTTTTGCATGATTACAATGATGAAATCAACACAAAAAATCCTTTGGGAATGCATGTAAGCGGTCATATTGCCATTTATATATTCATTTTTGTAATATATATTATTTTTTAAAATTAAGACTTTTGGCGGCCTTTGCTTCTCAAGCATTCTACCAGATTTATAACAAAAATTGTAATTCTACAGGGTGAGCTTGCACTTGCCTTTGGTGAATTATTGAGGAAACTGTGGTCTGCTGGGCGAACAGCAATTGCACCACGTGTATTTAAGGGAAAACTTGCTAGATTTGCACCACAATTTAGTGGATATAATCAGCATGATTCTCAAGTAAGCATGGCTTGATGCATAAATACTTGCCGTTTCTGCACTTCTTTTAAGTTGGATAATCCATGCATGCGGTCATGTACAATATAGTTATGTTGTTTTGTCCTTCCTTTTATGATTTAGTGGAAAGTCAAAATGATCATTAAAAATTGGAAGACTAAGAAAATGCATCATTTAGTTAGTAAACTATTTTTGTGTGTGCGTGGGTGGGAGAAGGGAGATTGGCAGCAAATCTAAGGCGAGTTATTTAGCTATAGTTTATAGTATTGCTTGTCTTAACTTTACGTTACTAAGATCATAGTTTCCTCCTTATATTATTTGTGGGAGAGTACTTGCGACAAATATGTCACCTTCTATGTTCTAAATTCTGAGTTTCACCTGTCTTTTTCTGGGAGGAGCAGCCAGGAGTGCAACTCCCGCATTTGGTTGGAGAAGTGGTTATTCCTTGGTCTAACCATAAAAAGTGGTAAATTAGGAGAGAATGACATAGAAGTAACGGCTTTCCTTTCTTGCACCAATTTTCTTCTAATAAGTTACAGAGTTTAGATGGTACAATTAAAACCTAGGTGGAGGTGTTATTTGCTATTCTCACCTTGGTTTTTCTTGTTAAAAGTAAATTGCTGCAAGCAAGGAATAACCATTCCTAATATGTCATTCTCTGTCTCTAATTTGCCTTATTTTTATGGTTTCATTTAGGAATAACCCCTCCATCTAACCAAACATGACATAAATCAGAATGTTCTGCAATGAAATTTTCATTTGATCTGTCAGTCCTATGGAAAAGAGCAGAAAAATTAGAAGGAAAAAAAAAAAGTCTGAAATATTAATTAGATGAAGAAAAATACTAATTTTCTTTTCATTGGCAGCTTCTTGCTACAAAAGATTTGTCAATGATGAATAATGAATTATAAGCCATAATGCAGCTCTAGGAAAAAAAATAAGAAGAAAAACTATTAATGCAGTTCAGTCTTTAATTTGAAATTTCATTTTTACCATTAAAGTAGATAAAATTATTAATACCGACTTAATGTTATGTGTTCTGATCAGTACATATGATGTTAAATTCGATTTTGTGGTCCATGATTGTCAAACATTTTGTTTATAGGAACTATTGGCTTTCCTACTGGATGGGCTGCATGAAGATTTGAATCGAGTCAAACAAAAGCCTTACATTGAAATGAAAGATTCAGATGGTCGTCCAGATGAGGAAGTAGCAGCTGAGTGTTGGAGAAATCATAAGGCCCGGAATGACTCAGTGATTGTGGATATTTGCCAAGTGAGCAATCCTCTTCTTCTGCATGCATGTTTTGGTGTGTAACAGTTGCATAAAATGGTGAATTGAAATTGAAGTAAATATAATAAAATCATCTAAGTCTTGATCTTAATCCTACCTTTTTTCTGTTTTTATAACTCTTTTGGTGTACTGAGTATATTTGCAATGCATTTGCTGTTGTAGCTTTGTTTCCTCAAAGATTTATGCACTTTTAAATTAGGATTTAGGAGTAAGTTATCTCTGATGCAGGAGTTACCAGTATGAGAAGATTGTGATGTCTTACAAGCAAGTTTTATTAATGTTATTCTTAGCATGATTAATCCAGTGTTTATTCTTGTCATCTGTCTTGCATATGTATAGAACAGAGGTCAGGTTTCAGTGTTTGGCAAATTGGGTTACTAACCATTGTGATGTGGTGAATCTCAGGGTCAATATAAGTCGACACTGGTTTGCCCTGCTTGTGGGAAAATTTCAATTACTTTCGACCCCTTCATGTATCTTTCTTTGCCACTTCCTTCAACTATTACCAGGACAATGACTGTTACTGTGTTTTCTGCTGATGGAAGTGGTCTTCCAATGCCATTTACTGTCTCAGTGCTGAAAAATGGTTACGTCAAAGATCTTATCCAGGCATTAGGTTCTGCTTGTTGCTTGAAAAGTGATGAGATCCTTTTGCTTGCAGAGGTAAACTTGTTATTAACTGTTTCTTTTATTTGTAGTTGGTTCCACTTGTATGTTACTTTGAGTGACTGAAGTGTTAGATCCTTTTCAGGTCTATGAAAGTAAGATATACCGCTACTTGGAAATGCCATTAGCGTCATTGTGTTCAATAAAGGATGATGAACATATTGTGGCTTTCCGATTTCACAAAAACACAGTTGGGAAAACAAGACTGCAAATTTTTCATCGATGTCAGGAAAAGTAAGTTTAGTCTCTTAGTTTAGATTGTATACAAGTGCATGGGAATGTTCAGTCATTGTGCACATAAATGACTGACATATTGTGGCCTTTTAGAGTTGGATATAATAGTGTTGAATTGAAAATCATTTTTATTTGTTAGTTATTTAATTATTGTTGGTTGATTATTGAGCTGAAGTATCTCAATTTCCAGATCTCCATCGGATTATCTGAAGGTTGGTGCTAACCTTTTTGGATCACCTTTGGTTACATATTTGGGGGAAGACCAACCAACTGGAGCTGACATAGATATTGCTGTTTCTAGGGTGCTGTCACCACTTAAAAGAATTTTCTCTTCAGCTAAGGTTCACGGTGGCAAAGAAAATGGCTTCCTTTCAGATGGTATTGAGGAACAATCAAATAGCTCTGGTTCTCAATCATGGCCAAGAAACCAGGCACTTGAGAATACAGCGAGTACATCTAGTGGGGAGTTATCATTCCACCTCCTTTTAACCAATGACAAGGCACTCACCTCCAAGCCTCTTCAGAAGGATACTATCTTTAAATCTGTGGATAGCATAAGTGTGTTGATAGACTGGACTGACAAAGAACAGGAACTCTATGATTCCAGCTACTTGAAGGACATCCCGGAAGTATTTAAGGCAGGGTTTGCTGCCAAGAAGACCCGACAAGAAGCCATTTCTCTGTCTTCATGTTTAGATGCATTCTTGATGGAAGAACCCTTGGGGCCTGACGATATGTGGTATGTCTTACAACCAGTTTTGAGTTGATTTCAGACAACATTTTTACAGATTCTTAGACCAATTTCATTTTATATTCAGCAGCATTCATGCCTAAATTCTATATATTAAATTTATCAATGCAGGTACTGTCCAGGATGCAAAGAACATAGGCAGGCCATAAAGAAGCTAGACTTGTGGATGTTGCCGGAGATAATTGTTTTTCATTTGAAACGTTTCACATATGGCAGATACCTGAAGAACAAGATTGACACTTTTGTGAATTTCCCCATTCACAATCTTGATTTGAGCAAATATGTGAAGAATAAAGATGGACAATCTTATGTGTATGAGCTTTATGCCATCAGCAATCATTATGGTGGTCTAGGTGGTGGTCACTACACTGCATATGCTAAGGTAGGGGATATATGTAATTTACAATATCGCATGCTAACACAAGCTTATATGAACTAGTTGAAATGCTGAATTATCATTTTAAAATTGCTCTCAAACTCATATTTATTTGCATTACTTCAATTGTCTGAATTTTTCATGGATGTTAAATGATCTCGATCTTTTCTCTTAACCACAAGTCCAATGGTTCAATTGGAATCTAAGTTGGCTTCACTTTTCTGCTTCTGCAGTTGGTTGATGAGGATAAATGGTATCACTTTGACGACAGCCATGTTGATGCAGTCAGTGAGGCTGAGATAAAGACTTCAGCTGCCTATCTGCTGTTCTATAAGAGAGTGAAAAATCAACCAATGACAGGGGCAGGAGAACCCTCAGAAAGTCATAACAGTTCTTAATGTTATGACCCGCAGCTTTTTCCAATTATTATTTTGGCTGTTAAAGGTTGGCTTCTTGGAGGTATGGTGATGCTAAATGCCACAGTGGACAGGCCACCTGCTCCGGGATAATTTTCTTGGCTGAGCAAACCTGGTGAACCACTGGTAATAAAATAGAGACAGGAGATACTGGGATTGGCAAAGGCATCATCAGCCTGATTATGAAGAAAAGATACATAGCCAGATAGGCCTAGACCTAGCACTAGTTTAATGATTTGTTAATTTTTTTTTTCTTAAAAAAAATGAAATTTCAGCTGAAAATTGGATCTACGTATAGATCCTTTGTTGTCGTCCCTCTTTATTTTTTAGCAAAGCTTGTTTCTATCAAGTATAATCCATGGGGTACCGTTATTGATTGAATTGAAGAACTCAAAAAGTATTTGTTGACTCGTAATTGGGAAAATAGGAGAAAACGCACTGGTGCCAATATTTAAAGAAAAAGACAGGTGGATGCCTCTCTTTATCCTTTTCTTCTTTCTCTCTCTTTTTTTTTTTTTTTTTGTCTTGTTTTTTAATCTGTTTATTTACGTAGGGAATATTTTTAAAGAAGTGAATATCTTGTCCCGTCCTGAGAATTTATCTTCTTCTTTTTCTTTTTTTTTTTTCTCGTTTCCTAAGAATTTATCTTTTAATATCCAAGCATAGCAAAAGCAAAGTATCAGCTATCATAGCTTTTATTGCTGGATGCACCAAACAAAGTCCAAATTATGGTAAATGATGCTCTCACCATGAAGCTTTTGAATGGATGTTAGTATAAAAGAGATTTATTTTTATATAAATTTTATATATTATATATATGATTTTATTTATTTTTAATAAAAATTATATATATTTATTAAAAATAATTATTTTTTATTTAAAAAATTATAATAAATTTTAATTATTAAAAATAAAAAAATAATTAATTAAAAT